GTGCCTGAGAAATGCCTACTATCAACTTTTGTTTTTAAGCCCTGACTTGCCCATATTGATGATTTATGCCACTTTCACTTTTATAACTCGCGCGCGTATCCGGAAAACACGGCCCCGCATTCAGTATTTTTGACACGCCCCTTTTTCGTTTTGGTCGACTTTTTTGGGCTGTACGAACATTGCCGAGGAATTGTTTACACAGGATGTGTACTGACTTCTGAGATTGTAAACAGTATTACGCAGTTGGGTGTCAGTAAGCCGATAATCACTATGGTGAGACGGTAGGCATTTCACAGGCACTTTAAACACAGGTTTCGCTGTGCTAGTGTGTGAAATCACGATTTTTGTATGAAAAAAATATTAGTTAACATAATATTTAGATTCACTCGCAAGTATCCTAAACATCACCTAAATCAATCGGCCGTTTTGAGAACTCAGCAATCGTAGATTAGTTCATAAGTTCGTAGGCTAGAAATCATTACCAGACGGTGAGGGCGTACACAATGAAGACATACACATAGTTCAGTATGCAGTCAATTTAATAAGTTTATTCATAATATACAGTAAATCAAATCCACAACTGATATAATCACTATTAACGAGTCTAGGGTGATGAATTAAGCTTTGTGGTAAGACTGGACGGCTCATTGACACCTTTCATTTGACTGCAGCCAACCTTGTCACCAAATCGTTGCTGATGTCACTGTCGACTGATGTTCCCCGGCCGGCCTCCCTACTGTGCTTACCCATTATAAACATAAACAAGCAAATTGTGCAGTTTCTAATTTTAGACATCAATTCAGGCGTTGTCATGGATCGGTCAATGTCAGTTCAAGGACTGTTTCGATTGAGAATTTAAGAGCAATTGTCCTTACTTGTGAGTTAGTCGCAGCAAAATACAATGAATGACGAAGTACGACAGTGGAGAAAGTTACACACGAGCACAGTCCCTCTATATAGGGGCTGTGACACGAGGGAGCAAAATACAAGGAACAATGGGGGAAATGTGACCACATTGTTCTAAGTGTAGGAAAGTACTACAATGACGTCAAGTTCAAAAGTATGTTTCTGTTTTACACTTAAAAATATACCTTTAATTTAGATCTAGTACATATACTCGGACAGTTCAGACGTTCAGACAGCCGATCTCCGTACGTGCTGAGCTTTGAACCCGACTTTCTTGGGAACGAGATCGTTTTTGTCGGCACGTGCCTACTAGATCCTGACCGTCCATATACATGCTTCGGCTCGTGTCGACCTAATCCCGAAGCTCGCGGAAATCTCAAATGTGAACGCCAAGTACATCGTGCACAAGTTGGCCATTTGAATATACATAATAGCGATATACACACGTTGGTTGTACTACCAGCGCGTGGCTCCCTCGCCTCTATAAATATCTCTATCTCAGACTATCTATCAACGAAGTGAGCTACCTAATGAATTATTTCACATGTAGATCTGCAGCGTATTTCTCGCCAAAAATACTGATGTTTTACAATGTATATTAGTATGTTAAAGCATAGACCTTAGAAGGTATATGGTTAAAGCGGGGGATCGTCACCTGCGCACGCGCGGGAATTGAGTGCCAAGCGATGATGAAAACACACGCTAAAAACGCAAAGGCTCATGGGTAGATGCTTGTTTGTAAACAATGACACCCTAAGGCCATCTGACGCATGCGCAGTTGACGATTACCCCGCTTTACGCTGTCTGTGATTATTGTACAATGTAATTCCAATGTTCAATTTGTTTTTTGTTGTGTATGGTTTTGTGACCTTGCTGAGGTACTACTTTCCGAAGTCGTTTCGGGTTAATCTCAAACAACTAATTTATTATTAGTTGTCCGAGGGTTAATACATTATCAACTCCACTCTTGTTGATACAATCTACCGGTAATCACTCAATTACTGTGTTACTTTGTTCTCGCTACTTGCGTGTCCTTGTAGCGGAGTCTATGATGTCCACATGTTAGTCATATGACCCACTTTGTGTATAGTTCATGTAGATCGCATGGGGGTCATTTAAATACAATGGTTATATCGGGGCACACTTTCTGCAAAACTTGTTTATTGGTTCTGCACAACTGTACGGTAAACACGAAAGGTAAACAGCTTTCTAGCTGTATTTCTGTAGCTTTTTTTGGTTTCGCTGTAATTCGTTTTGTTGTCGGTAGGGTTACTAGTATTTCGTGGGATGATAGCGATCACAAATATTTAAAAAAAATACAGCGAAACCAACAGAGCTACAGAATTGGAGCTAACGACTCTCATTCTCTGGTTATCAGTATTTCTGTCAATGCTAGATCTGACATTTATGGCGATTAAGTGGACCTACGGCATACCATGTAGTTCCATGGGCATATTTACATTACGCCCTCACCGACACCTCGTGTTTAGTGTGACAGCTGGCGACCTTGACCAACGATTATCGCGTGACCTTCTGTGTTTATTTACAGTATACAGCGGCAATCGAAGAGTGAAGATATAACATCGCACTATAACGCACTCTGTCCGCCGGTGAAGCAAGGAGCCCCACTTCCAGTTCAACATGCCGCTTACAACCACTGTCATTGGTAGCTACCCGAAACCCGACTACCTCGGTATTCCTGATTGGTTTGACGGGCTTACATCGACAGAACGGTACAGTGCTATATGGAATCGCAGGCCCCACGAGTAGGTAACAGGATCCCACGAAATACAGCCCGGGACCTCCCGGGAGGTCCCGGTGTCGTTGTCGCACCCCCTGGGCCTGTAAGTGGCGAGAGTGGTTGGAAACATGCACAGTGTAGAGCAAATGTACGATGAGACGCATTTGATTGAAACAAATGGCGGCCATCATTGTGTGTTCCCTTCCGGTCGATCGGTTGTTGTCAATGAAAAATGAAACCGGTTAAATACACACCGTTAACATACCTGTCTGCTATAAGAAAATTAGGAAGGGAAAATACAGTTGTAAGAGTATTTTTTACACAATGCTGATGAGTAACACATGCAGGTTTGGTCACCTAATTCACGCCCTCTAGACCACACCTGTCGCCCGACTTAGATGCATTGTTCACGCGTTCTTTGTTTCATTCCAGGTTGAAGTAGACCGATATACTGACCTGTTTATGGTTAAAAACAAGGCTTGTATAATTACACACGTGCAGTCAATGTTTTTCGACCATGTCTCATTGTTTTGGTTATGTTTTAAGATAGGGCAATGTTTGTATGATACAATGGGATATTTTTATTTTGAACGTGCACAGCGAAATTAGGTAATGTCCAAAAGAGCAAA